AGATACTTTTGAAATAAACTGTAATATTAAATCATAACAAAGCCCAGAATATAATGGCCTTAGTTAAAGTATTCGCAGAACGTAAAGGATTCGTTGACGGGGTTGATTATAATGGCTGAAGTGTTTCTGATAGTTTAATAGTTTGTATGCCGCGTGAGTGAAGTGCACAATGTAATTTTCACCTGACAGTATCACATAACGGTAGAGAATAGTTTGTTGAAAGCGGTTAAAGTTATCTCCGGTAGCTATCACCGTTGATACACATGCGGTTGCAGCATATTTTACTTCGATATTACGAGTATAATGTAGTGTTACTTGTATTACTCGAATAAATAATTCAAGTATATATTTACTAGCATTCCTAATTCGTATCAGTATCTTTTCGTTTGTAGAATTAAAATTTCATGCTGATAGGTTAGGTCAGTTTCTGCCGTGAGGCCTTCACACTTAAACCAGCCAAGTGTGGTTGAATTCAGCTAGTGAATTGTAGAAATACAAATGTTTCCGAAAATTAGTGTACTGAAAAATTTTACGAAAAAATTTGTTGTCTGTAATGTTGGTTTATGAACGATATTTTTACGTGATAATGTCATAAAGAAAAATTGCATACCTTTATGAATTAAATTGAATTATTATCACTGAAGTATCATTATTTTGTAAAATACAAATAAGAGGAGTTATTGCTAGCTAGCTGCTAGCTCTGACGTCAGGCGAGAAGAGAGATAAATGTGTCACAAGCCAACGCTTTGGCCGATCGCGCCTCTCTATTGCTTGTTCCACGCTCTCACTTGCACACTCCGGCTCAGGAGGAACGTGACACTTTTTCGTGCGTGCAGCTAATGTCCATCAATTTAAAAGATGTTATCACGGCAAAAATTTTTACTACGAATATTCGATTATAAAAGTAACAAACAAAATGGCCGATGCGAATCCCCAGAAACGGCGAGTTTAATTAAAACTAGTATGCGGCGAAAAAAAAATCTGTATCGGTTTGACAACGTGCTCCCGGCAAAGTTAAATTGAAAAAGCTTCAAATCTCACCAGGTGTACGGCGTATTGTAAAACTCGGCGTGTAGGTACCATCACTTTGCCTGTTCATGCTGTGAAGCAAATGTGAATTCGTGGGTGGCGGCGCTTACGTTTTGATGTCTATGGGCTCCGGAAACCACCAAGTAGACTCTGAAATTGTTCATCAATTAACACGATAAATAAATCGAAGACATGATTGGATGAAGGGGTTAAGTACAATTTTAAAGTTTACATTGAATGAAGGTGTTATGTTCTTATTAGCCATATTAGACCTTCAAACTCCGGGTTTAAAGGCTATTTTTAGAAACTTCATGTGGTGAAGGAGTTATGTCTGAAGAAAAAGTACAAGTAACAAAAGTTTGTTGCATTTTTCACAAAATTAACAAATTGTGTTCTATCCCCTTCCTTCATCCACTCATGTCTTCAATTATAGAATTAAATATTTTTTCATGAGTCCGATAGCTAAACAAGGTTATTTAGTGTTCTTACATCCTATATCGGCTCCGAAGCGCTAACGTCTCCTTTATTGTACTCGGTACAAAGAGGTCTCTGTTTCCGGCAATAGATCGTGATCTAGGGATCATTAGTAAAACATTTCATGAAGCATAAAAATAAATAAATAAAACCTTGCGACGATACCTATAATGTACAAATCTGTTTAGTAGATTACGTTTAAAACGAGAATTCTTGACGCGCATAAATTAAGGAAACCTAATTTCGTTTTAATGGCACAAAGATTGTCTGGGATAGTAATCTGAGCGTGGAACAGACACATGCTCCAGCATAAATGCTCTCGTAGGGGCTTCTACGGCGTAGAGGGTCTACGAGATAAGATTGTAGGCGATTCGACATGTTCACTTGTTTGAATTGTTTTCAATTATTTTAATTATGTTCTAAATTAATTCCATTTACTTATTTCTCGAATATTTGCATTTAAAAACACAAAATAATGTATAAAACAACGATTGTCATATATATTTTTTAGATGTTATGAAAATAAAGGGGTAGATTTATTTTATAAATCAATTTTTGTACTTGAAACACTTTTATTCTGACAAATACCATATTTAAGTGAACGAAAATTTCAACATCGTAGTTTTGAAGTCCTTTCTCTTCAAATATACTTCATCGCTTTCATTGTAGCTTTTAGAATTTCAACAAATTCTCTCTCACACACTCAAAGATGTTCTTCAATCGTTATCTCCTCTGGGGCAACTTAAGCTATGACTCTCTCAATCTACTACAGTCATCTATTAAATATAACTAGTCAGGTCATAAGTATTGTCACACAGTAAAAACTTTTCTTTTAGAATGCTGGCCACAAAAAAGTTTATTGAATTCGAATTTCGAATTGTTCATGAAAATAAAAATGAATTTTTCTTTTAGAATTTTACTCATTTTTAAATATGGAGTGGACGCTTAAAGAAGACCGTGTTGCAGCTATTGCGTTGCATCGTTGCGGTTACGCGCCAATTCAAATTTTTAACATACTGAAAAATTTGAATATAACCAAAAGATTCGCTTATCGTACCATCAAACGATACAATGAAGACTCTAGTGTAGATGACAGGTCAAGAAGTGGTCGCCCTCGGTCTGTTAGGACTCCAGCAGTGATAAAAGCTGTGAAGGCGCGAATTCAAAGAAATCCCAAACGTAAGCAGAAACTGTTGGCCCTTCAGATGGGGTTAAGCAGAACCACGGTGAAAAGGGTGTTAAATGAAGACTTAGGGCTTCGGGCATATCGAAGAAAAACAGGACATCGTTTGAATGCTCGTCTAATGGACCTGAGACTGAAGAGATGCCGCGCTTTGTTGAAGCGGTACGCGGGAAAAAAATATCGGGAAATTCTTTTTTCGGATGAAAAAATTTTTACCGTAGAAGAGAGCTACAACAAACAAAATGATAAGGTGTACGCACACAGTAGTGAAGAAGCGAGCAACCGTATTCCGCGTGTCCAACGAGGTCATTTTCCATCCTCGCTCATGGTATGGTTGGGAGTTTCTTATTGGGGCTTAACAGAGGTACATTTTTGTGAGAAAGGTGTAAAAACGAATGCAGTTGTGTATCAAAATACAGTCCTGACGAACCTTGTGGAACCTGTTTCTCATACCATGTTCAATAACAGGCACTGGGTATTCCAACAAGATTCGGCGCCAGCTCATAGAGCGAAGAGCACACAAGACTGGCTGGCGGCGCGTGAAATCGACTTCATCCGGCACGAAGACTGGCCCTCCTCCAGTCCAGATTTGAATCCGTTAGATTACAAGATATGGCAACACTTGGAGGAAAAGGCGTGCTCAAAGCCTCATCCCAATTTGGAGTCACTCAAGACATCCTTGATTAAGGCAGCCGCCGATATTGACATGGACCTCGTTCGTGCTGCGATAGACGACTGGCCGCGCAGATTGAAGGCCTGTATTCAAAATCACGGAGGTCATTTTGAATAAACTTTAGTGTCATAAGAGTCTATGTTTTGTTAAGTTCATTTTGGTATATGAATGGTTACATAATGAATAAACTTGTTTCAATTATTTTACATTAAACATGTGACAGAATTTATGACCTGACTAGGTATATGAGACGTCGCTTAAAGAATTCTAAGTAAAGAAATAAACTTTTCATCGTACAAAAATTAAACACGCTTTTTTTCTTTTATTCTTTGTTCTCTTTGTAATTCTTTGTAAAAAGACAATTTATCATATTCATGTTTATCGGGTCTTCGCTTAGGTTTACAACATAACAATAATGTTACTGTTAAGGAAAATCTTCTCTTATATAATTTATTCATTTAAAGCTTCCGTATTCGTGATATCCGTAAGAACAACCATCCATTTCTATTAAATTATTACAGTAAGTTCTCTCCAATTGCTATTTTGTGTTAACAGCAAAAATTAATGACAACAAGATCACCAACTCTGTTTAGATATCGTTTTTATTAGCTTCAGTTTTGTCTATACTAATATTATAAAGAGGAAAGATTTGTTTGTTTGTTTGTTTCGAATAGGCTCCGAAACTATTGGACCGATTTGAAAAATTCTTTTTCCATTAGAAGCCGACATTGTCCCTGATGAACATAGGCTACTTTTTTTTTTTTTTGGTTTCATTTGTGTTTTAATGTTTCCGAAGCGAAGCGAGGGCGGGTCGCTAGTATAAAATTAAAGCCTTACTAAAATAATGTAAGGTCTTTAATACTCAAACCAACCACAAAGCTCAGCTCTGTAGTTTAGTATTTTTTACGCAGCACACAAGCTCTATGAGGCTTGGCTTTGTAATTTTGGTAATAAGATTATCTGTCAAGTAGTAGTTGTTACGTAGTCTACGAACAAAGAAATACGTAAATAGATAAACATAGTACGTGCATTAAAAACGTATTGGAAGCTTTCAGATTAATTCAATTAATCAATTAATTAAGATGTCCAACACACTTTTGTTACAGCTTTTTAAGACAGTTATATATATGAATAACAATAAATGGAAGACGTTGTAAATAAATCTTACTAAATATCGAGAGTAAGTATGAAAGAAATATCAAAATTAAAGTATCTTCATATGAAAACAATATTTCGGCCGCGTAGCTCTCTTGAAAGCTAGCTTACACAACCTACTTCAACTACACTAAAAACGATAACTTTACCATTCCTATAAACTTTGTTCTATAAGAAAGAGAAAAGTTTTTGTTTGAAATCCGATTCAATTGTTTGAATTAGTAAAACAGTTTGTATTTATTTATTTGATTTTTAATTATTTTCCAAAAAAAATTATAAATGATTTTCGTTTTTTTTTTCATGTAAATTTAATCGAGATTAGATTCATATACTCATTGATCTTAAAGTCGCCGAAAATAATGAAAGATGAAATAGTTAAAGGCTCGCGTTTTGGCAATGGTGCGCGGAGGGAAACAAGGGTTGCCGAGGCGCGGGGCAACAGAGAGGTCGATAAGCAGTGTGAATCGCACTGCCGGGGTGATCAGACGTGGTCACAGTTCGGCTGGCATCACACGTTCGCGACTGGTGATAGTTACCGCGCTACCCCAACGCTACTCGTGGCACCGGCAGCCTTCAAGGTCGAGTGAGTACACTTTTTGAACCTATTAACACCACCTGTAGGTCAAAATAATAGTAGTTTTTATTTTTTCGTAATTTTCGTAATCCATGTTAAACTTTAGACGTGAAAGAAAAAACATTTCACCAAAAGTTTCGAAATACAAAAGATATTAGTTGGATTTTGATTAGAAAAAATAATTTATTTATGGTTTATTTAAAAGTTTTATTTAATGATGTTAAGACATCTTTTCATATTGAATTGTTTGTAGTTAAATTAAACATTTTGTTATAGTTATCGTAACATTTTTAATAAATTACCAAAAGCCTTATATATTCACTTCCTAAAAGCCTTATTTATTCACTTCCATGGATCGATTTTATTGAATTCGAGTGATTTTATGTAACAGTATTAAAATGAACCAAGAAATATTGATTTATTTAATTCAATGCGTGATTTCCGGAAATTTCGTGGAGCGATGATGATATTCATTGGAAAAGTAAGTAAAGATTTTATTTATTTTTTGTATTATAATAAAGTTTGTGATCGTTGATTAGCTTGTATGTATGTCTTATTAAAGAATTATGTGTTTCTAGGTACCGAGCGTTCACTTTACTGGAAATAGAAGACAATGAAAGAAACAACATAATTTTCTATCACATATTATTTATGAATGCGAAAAATACTTTTCTGTGAAACATGTTTTAAATAAAGAAATTGAATCAGACCAGACTTTTTTTAGACTATTTTTTTTTTAACCAGTATTTATGAAATCTAACGAAATGTAATTTCTGAGCATAATAAAGAAATTTAGTAAAAGTTGTACTGTTTCATTAAACCTTCTATTAATATATTTAATTGACTGTTTTTTTTATTACCTAATCGGAAGTGAATAAATCTCTCGGAATTTTGATGTAGTCATTCAATGTACAAACATATTAAGAAAATATATTGTTTTTTTTCATTATATAGATTTTCCAATCAGAATGTTACGAAAACAATAATAGCCTTGTACAATTTAATTATAGTGTTCTATCTATTCGGTATTCCCAAGTCGTGGACGTAATTAATTATTTTAGGTGGTTTTTTACTAGAAAAGAATCGGCCTTTAGACGCTGAGCATAATAAAGTGCTATTCACTAAATTGCGATCACGATCTGTGTTACAAATTTGTCCCGAAAAAAAATCATTAAGTATCTATTGCGATTCTACAACTGATTTAGACATTAAAATCAATGGCGCTACATAAGGAAAGTATTTAAAGATTAACGTTTATATTTAAAACTTAGTTTTGAAACTGTTTGATTTAAAGTTCAATATTAGGGGGAGGGGGGTTGGGGGGGGGCATATTTTGAGCCCGCGCTCTTAGGTACCACCTACATATACTGCGGTGAAGAAGTAAAACGTTCCAGTTTGAATGGTGGAATAGTCTTTATCCAATACAGATTTTATATCTTAAGATGGGTATTCTTGTTGTGATATGTATGTGTTCCGAAAACCACTGAACAATACCCAATCACGTCAAAGCAATAAAAACGGCTGAAAGGTATAAAAATACAATTTACCACAACATTCTTTCTTCTTCTTCTTCATCTGCTTTGTATGTAACGACTAACATTCGGTACAATAAAAATTCAAATACAATATAAAAAAAGCTTTTGTATCAGTGAAACAATTTAAATGGGTTTCACATGCTGTTTAGCAATGAGTGAATGGATTTAAAAAAAAAACAGATCTTAATTACCCAAATATTGTATCTTTTAAATAAATGACATCGAAGTCTAGTTTACTGGCGGTAGGACCCCTTGTGCTACTGGTGGTAGAACCCCTTGTGCTACTGGTGGTAGAACCCCTAGTGCTACTGGTGCTAGGATCCCTTGTGAGTCCGCACGGGTAGGTACCACCACCCTGCCTATTTCTGCCGTGAAGCGTAATACGTTTCGGTTGAAGGGTGGGGCAGCCGTTGTAACTATACTTGAGACCTCAGAAATTATATCTCAAGGTGTGTGGTGTATTTTCGTTGTAGATGTCTATGGGCTCTAGTAACCACTTAACACCAGGTGGGCTGTGGGCTCGTCCACACATCTAAGCCATAAAAAAAAAGTAAATTTAAAAATACTCTAAAGCTGCATTCAAAGGTTCTTCATTATCATAATCATCAGCCTACAAAAGTTCACTGCTGAACACAGGCTCAGCTTGATTTCTGCGATCTTAAACAGATCGTCCGTCTACCGGGAGGCCTTCCCACGTAGCGTTTTCCAGTCCCCATTCGAGAACCCTAGCGGCCGCCTGTACTTCGAGCATTGTGCCTTGACCACTGCTACTAGCACATTGTCATCCTTCGGGCTATATTGGCCCTTCTGCGAATTTTCTCATTTCTGATTCAATCTCGCAGTGAAACTCTCGAGCATAGAGCTTTTTGGGTGACTTTGAGTCATCTCATAAGCCATTTTGTCAACGACTACATCCCACTGCCGTATGTCATCACTGGCAATACACACTGGTCAAAGACTTTTTATTTTTTTCTGTTCGAAGCCCAACCTTACGTTGAGGACCCCGCACGTGAAGATGGTATAGAACCATACACTAAACGATTCTTCTGCATTCTCATGCGACGCCTTATCCCCGCCCTAAAGCCCGGCCAAGATTGGAGGGATTTTGCAATCGATATTAAAATCGGATATGCAGCTCTTCCCAAGGATGCTCAGCTGATGGAGTTATCGAGGCGATTTTCGACGCCTCTACGTCAGCCGTCTTTATAGGGCTACCCGTCAGGTCACCTCGGGTGGTACCAGGGGTATTTCAAAAAACCCCGCGGGCCAGAACCAGCCTGCTGGGTCGGAACACGATACTTCTACAGAAGCTGGAGCCCAGCACAAACCTTTATCCGGCCAGAGAGTGGATCAGAGCGGAGAGAGATGAACTCTATCTCTCGTTCCGCTGCCTCCTTCTGCGAGATTGTGGACTCGCAGAAATCGAACATCGCATTCTAGAACTCGTCGCTACTGACAATCGTAGCTATTCCGATAGAGGCACCCGTCACGCGCGGACGTGCTCATCGACCACTCGATCGCCCGGCCTTTGTTCGCCCGGCTTTTGTTAGCCCGGCCATTGTTCGCGCGGCCTGTGTTCGTGGTACATCTGCCGACTAAGTGCTCTTCCTGGAAGTTTTTATTTGTTTTGTTTCCTTTTGTTATTTCTGTGTTCGTGGTACATCTGCCGACAAACTGTCTTCCTGGAAGTGTTTAATTCCATTTCTTTTTGTTATTTCCGTTTTGTTGTAATTTTTCTTTGTCCTGCAGTAATCGTGCCGCATCGCCACCTGTGTTCAATTGAACCGCTCAGGTCCGAGAAGTTGGGGCCTCGCCGCAAGGCGAGTGTTTTCTAAGACCCAGGGTAGCCCCACCTGGGCACGTAGACATCATGGACGCTGTATTTGCGGAATTTCTCCGGCTTCGCTACCCAAAGCTCACTTCCGAGTTTCAGGCCTTCAAGGCCGATCACACTGCGAGCCCTCTCGTGGACTCCACCGAGCTCGCTGCTCCTGCGTCGCCTGTACCTGCGTGCAAAGCTTCTGCATCGAGCACCGCAGCCTCCGTCGTGCCTGCCGTTCCCGCGTCGCCTATACTGGCGAGTAAAACTGCTGCGTCGTCCGCCGTGGTCACCGTTCCAGCAGCGCGATCATCCGC